GACACACTGATGCTCCGGGGAGGAAGATAACACTCTGATTGGTATGGGAGAACATCTCCACATGCAAATCAAACGGCGACTCAGCAGATACAGAGACGTTTCAGGTCACAGTGTGTCACAAGACGGACACACTATGTCCCCTGATATGCATCTTGGCACATTTACATTTAAAGATATCACCAGAAAGTGACCGCTGCGCTGAGAGATAAAGGAAAGGAAACAGGTTTAACTCTATGAATGCTTGCTCTGTTATCGGCACAGCCTGATGGTGTTTTTCCCCTACTCTATAGAAATGTGGCTCATAATGTAATTGACATGCTGTCAGCACATTCGATCTTCAAAGGGGATAAACCTTTTAGATTTGCATGACCAGTCGTCTTCCATCAAGAGCCCCCTATTAGGGCAGCTGTTGAGCCCGGCTACTAATAAAACTCAAAGAGCAGCACTCCCTGAGATGGAGCACACACATGGAAACATTATGAAGAAATGTTCATTTCAAAAATGGAAAAGTTGGAAAATGTGAATTATTAGTTATTATTAGCTGCAGCAGTATTTGTTGTTTGTGGTGCGGTTACACTTGTTTTTGAGCCACATGACTAACTGCTGTCTAGCAGAGTGCTATGGTGATTTTGTTGTTTTTCTCTCTTTGTGTCCGTCACAACATATTTCATCAGCCCCCATCAGAGATAAAGAATCACCTGGGCTCAGTGTGACATTTCTGAAAGATAGAATGTGATGAAAACCTTTAAACTCAAGGACATGCAGTGTGTGTGTGTGTGTGTGTGTGTGTGTGTGTGTGTGTGTGTGTGTGTGTGTGTGTGTGTGTGTGTGTGTGTGTGTGTGTGTGTGTGTGTGTGCGATCGGTTCCTGAGGGCATAACTGACAAAGATAGAGCAGAACAATCATCTCAGAAATGACTACAAACTAAAAAGTGTGATGCGTAAGGGGCTGCACCGTAGGAAATAAAGAACTAGCTGTTATTACAATAACGACAATACGGCATGAATTACAATATTAGGATTGAACATTTTTGCAACATCATTCACATTTCGTTGTAAGATATACTGTATTTAAAATGATTTGTGATTCATTTTAAGAAGATAATTTTAATTAAGTCTGTAGAATACGATTAGAGGGCCATGACGTCTATACAATTAATTTAGGATAACACTTGTCAAGAAATATGGCACCTCCTGCAATTTTAGTATTCCAGTAGCCCTTATTGGGATTCTGAATACATTTCGACAAAGTCCTAAAAACATTACCACAGAGAATTATATAAAGGAAAATAATAGTAGAATCTATTTATGATAGAGTAGTGGAAATATTGAAGATCAAATTACAATGTGAGGGGTGGTTGCTAATTCTGGAGCCCTTCAACCCCACATTTGTGCAGATATACAAATAAAACATACTTATTGGCTTGGTTAGTTATTGTTAAGGTAAACATACTATTATTTGATGATAATTGACCATAAATCAGCTCTACTTCTACTTCGTTGGTGTGTTACCCTCAGTAGCCTCTAGATGTCACTGCTCCTCTGTGACTCAATTAAGCTGAGCTTCTCTGTAGACCCACTGAAGCTGAAAGGAGGGCTCACACACACACACACACACACACACACACACACACACACACACACACACACACACACACACACACACACACACACACACACACACACACACGCACACACTAATAGACAGGGGCTAAATCCCAGCTTGATGAGTTTGCTGTGAATCTGGAGGTCAGCTGATACTGGCTGTGTGAGCCACACTGTAGCTACACACACTGTCATTGAATTAGTCCTGTCACTGCTATGTGTGCATCTGTATTCATTGTTGAATACACTGCAATAATGCAACTTCCTATGGAAAAATCCGGGGTGAACCGTGCAATTGCTAACAAACATTTTATCAACTCCTTTTCCCAAGGTTTTAAAAGTAAATGTACTGTCTGCAGCACATGTAATGTTTTAAAATGTTAATTGATGCATCACAGTTGGAGCTGCATCTCACTGTTGCTTGAGGCGGAGCTAGTTTTAACCTCTTTTTATACTGTTAGCTTTAGTCCAGTCTCTCTTATCCGGAGGGGTCGGACCCCTCTGAAGTCATTCAATAAAGGAACATAACTATGAATGAGGGAGAATAGCAGAAAAACAAAGTTCTGGTAAGAAAAATCTGTGAAGCAACTATACCGTCGTCAGTTAAATGAAGTGAATCAAAAACACTTACCTCTGAATTTTTCAAGAGATTAAGTGTAAAACAGCATTGAATGGAAGAACAAGTGCCTCAAATGTTAATGCAACTACAGTTCTTATTTACTTTCCACAACTTAAGTGTTATTAGCCCTGATGCAAGGCAAGTTTATTTATATAGCACATTTCAACACAAGGCAATCCAAAGTGCTTTACAATAATGAAAAACATTAAGAGCATTAAGAAATAGTACAGCGGAAACACATTATAAAATTACATTTAAAAACATTCATTAAAAAGCAAAGAGAATAAAATAAACATAAAGAAATATGGATAAAGGTTACTGTGCAGTATGAGATAGGAAAAAAGAAAAGTCTTCAGCCTGGATTTAAAAGTATAAGAGTTGCAGCGGACCTGCAGGTTTCTTCGTTCCAGATATTTGGAGCATAATAACTGAACGCTGCATCTCCATGTTTAGTTCTGACTCTGGGGACAGAAAGCTGACCAGTCCCTGAAGACCTGAGAGTTCTGGATGGTTCATCATTTAACAGTAGGTCAGACATGTATTTTGGGCCTAAACCATTCAAAGCTTTATAAACCAGCAGCAGTATTTTGAAATCAATGATATGACAGGAGGCCAGTGTAAAGACCTCAGAACTGGAGTGATGTGATCCACTTTCTTAGAGTTGGAGTTAGTGCCAAAGTGTGAACAGAACAGATGCTGGATGTACTGTTTGAGGTGAAGTCTTGAATTTAACCTCTGGAGAGCATGAATGTGTTCATAAACATTGATGGCACAATGTAACTACCCAACACTTGTTGTGTTCCACCGGTATGACAGGAGGTCATCACAACTGATTCCTCCTCTGGGGACCCTCAATATCAAGTATAAGGTTATAGAAGTCCAGCCGATTAGTTTTCAAGAAATGTTGCCAATTTGTCATGGACCCAAGTGCCGATCAAAACCAACATGCAGACAAAAATGTATATCACTGAATATATGCAATCATGTTCATGCTGTTCTGTTCTAACAGCCCCTCCCCATTGTATCAAAATAGAGGTGGAGGAATAGTACATTCCTAACTGGGAAGATGATGTAAGGTTTTCATTTTTATTTTACTTATGGCATTCTTCTATGCAGATCTGTATCGATATTTAGAGAGTTTACAAGACAGCTGTGTGTCTGTCATTTAATTTGTATAATGCTTAAGTGATTTATTCAGTAGTTCAACTTTGAGACCATGGAGTATGGAAAGGTCAATGACAAGATTTCAGTAAAACCTGAGTAATTTTGACTCTATCGTTAGGTTAATGTCTGCAGTTTTACCGTCATTTACCTTTTATTTTAGAGTTAAGGGGCAGCTGTGAACTCATAGTTGCTGACAGTTGCTTCTGAATTCTGGATTCTGTAAAAAAAAAAAAAAAGTTATATAAATAATTGAATAAAATGTGTATTCTATAGTAACACTGAAAAAACATAATAAGAGAATTTGTCATCAAAGGGTGCAAACTGGAGTTTTATTAAGTGTAGACAGAGAATAGAGTTACATCACAACTGTCCACAGTGCCATTCATCCTCAATGTGTCAGAGCAGGACACACTGCTCACAGATTTTAGTCTATTTTCTCCCTCCTTGTTATCATATTTCATCCTTCATATTAGTAGACACAATATCATTACATATTGTGACACCAGCTAAATAACTCACATTATTCCTATCTCCAGCCTAAATATAATAACTATTTACACAAAATAACAAATAAAGAAAACTATAGGAAATAATAGGAACTCATCCAACTAAAGTAAATACAGGAACTCAAGTCAAGCTTAAGTAGCTCAATAAATATAGTTCTTTTTTTGAGGGTTCCACCAAAAGCAGTGATGACATGAGGGATTAAAGAATTACATTATTTGATAGTCACCCGAGGATTAGGGACCATTAGAATAATTACAGCCAAATTCATCCAGATTGACATTTCTAATCATGAGCATCAATAAAGCCACCGTTTTGATCATTTGACAGGTTCGGTGTGATTGATAGAAAAGACGCAGTTCCCTTCATACGAGAAGGAGATGTAGGGCACGTTTAGCAAGGAAGACATTTATGAGCATGTATATTTTGTGAAGCTATAAATTAGCAGGCCATGTGGACCAGAGGTGGGAGAAGTACTTAGATCTTGTATTTCAGTACAAGTAGAAGTACCAGAGTGTAGGAATACTCTGTTACAAGGAAAGGTCCTGCATTAAAAAGTGTTACCAAAGCTGGTAAAGGTGCAGCTTGAATGACTTTGTATACTGCAGGGTAGCTTGTGAATTTACTCCAGGTGGAACTAAAGTCTGATTTAAGAGTTGATTATACAGTATTTCACATCATTAATCCACATCTGTAAAGTAGCCTAACTAAAGGTAGGCTATTAAATAAATGAAGTGGAGTAAAAATACAACATTTACCTCTGAATTTTAGTGGGTTATAAGCAGGGGAAGTAACTAAGTACATTTTCCTCAAGCACTGTACCTAAGTACAACTTTGTACTTTTACTCCACTTCAATTCAGAGGTAAATCGTGTACCCCCCCGTTGACAGTTCACGACCGCGTCCATAGTGTCTCTCCCCCCCCCCTCCGCCCCATCCACCGAGTAAAAAAATCCCCACTAAACCACTGGGCAAAGTGTTACCGTTCTCAGTAAATATAAAATAATGTTTCCAAATGAAGGAAACGGGAAATGTGTGTCAGTGTGTCCCCATGATAGTTGTGCTGTGGTGTTGGCGGCCGTGAGCCGTCAGTAGAGCTGTCGGTGGGACGGACCTCCCTCTTTGTGCTGCCGCCTCCGTAGGCTGTCCTGTCCGCCCGGAGAAACCCCAGCCTGGCTGCGACGAGGGCGGAGCTGCCCTGGCTGTCACAAAGACATGTTTCATTTAAAAAACTAGCCACTACGCTACGTACTGTCTCTATTTACACGGCTTTCTTTGGGCTTAACATCGACGACAGAGCGCTCGTTCAGCCGACTCGAGCAGAAGCAGGATGCCGGTGAAAGGCGGAGGAAGACTGGCCTCTTACCCGAGCAAGAGCGAAAATGTCGGAGTAAGTGGCGCTGTGCTGTATGTTTGACATGTGTGAAGTTACACTTGGTAACATGTATCAAGTTCGCCATAACGTCCCCACGTTGTCAAATCATTTTACCGGCCTTGTTAAGTGTGTGCGTATGTGTCCTTTAATAACATGCCGAAGTGGCTGAGGCTCGGTCAGGCTGTGAGGTGCATGTCGGCCAGCCAATAGTCAGCGTGTCAAACACCTGTTGTGCTTCAGGAGAGCCAATAGAAAGCCTCGTTACATAAGATTTGCTCTGCTGGTGTTTCTGTTCGCCTGAAACCTGAGAAAACTGCTCGAACTTTCATCTTGTTTTATCCAGTGGTGAGAGTTGGTGGCTGTAATCCTGTCCAGATTGACATCTTGGATTTGATGGGGGTTCTCTGGAGATTAGAAGGTCACTGGATGTAATCAGTAGTCCAGAAGGGGAAGTGTGTGTGAGGAAAGTGAAGGTCATGCTGCCAGTGAGAAAGTCACCTAACCTGTCCAGCAGCCACCTGTGGAGTCAACATGTGTGTGAGATCACAGGCACAGGACACAGAATAAATACTTTCTCTGTAACATTCCCAGTGCCATGCTTACAAACAGTTTATATGTCTACTATGAACATGTGTTGTTGTTTGATTAAAAGTTGTGTGTGTGTGTGTGTGTGTGTGTGTGTGTGTGTGTGTGTGTGTGTGTGTGTGTGTGTGTGTGTGTGTGTGTGTGTGTGTGTGTGTGTGTGTGTGTGTGTGTGTGTGTGTGTGTGTGTGTGTGTGTGTGTGTGTGTGTGTGTGTGTGTGTGTGTCATCACAGACCATCTCTGTCAGAGAGTAACAGATCAAAGTTGAGGATTTTGGCATTTAAGCAGTAAAAGCTGTTGAAATGCTGATTGAAGTGTAAGCCCCTGGAGATGGTTGAAGTGTGTGCAATATAAGCAGTGAAGTGTCAGTTGTATCGCTGACAGAAGCAGTGCAGGAGATGAGCTCTCAGGAACAGATTTTCTTCTCCCTGTTCAGACGACTGACTGGTGAGTGAGTCTTGATCAATGAGACGCTTCTCAGTAAAAATACTAAACTGTACTTAACACAAATCCACTATACTTCCTTATTCATAATTCCTGTTCCTGTGTCCTGTCTAATCTAGTCGGTGCACATTGTTCCGAATGTGGCACAGCACATTCGTGTATTATGGAAAATGAAATCACCCTACAGCCTCTCCCCTCTGTGTATCATCACTTTTCACAGAATGAATCATCACCATCCAAGAAATCTATGATGTATCCTGAGTGTCGTCAGGTTTCTATCAATGCTCCCATGATTCAGTGGGGTTTGTTCATCAGATCCATTCTGTCTTTTACAACAGCAGAGAACCCAGTTGAGCTACAGTGACGTATTCACACCAGCACAGCTGCTGACGGTGAACAGGGAGAGCATTCACACACTGCCTGGCACTCATCACATAGACACTGGCTGGCACAGTCACACACTCATGCACTATTTCTATGGAAACAGAATAATGTGTGTCTCTTGGAGATGTTGAAGCTTAATGTTAACACTAACTGGCACAACTCTGGCCAACAGTGTCACCTTTATTTGTAATGTCTATAGAGTGCTGCTGTGATGACATATTTGTGTTAGCCATCCCGACTGTTGGCAACGAGAAGGCTCCCTAGACATGGAGGAGTCAATACGATTCTTCAATATTTTATGGAATATTGCAGAAAGTAACAAATGTGATGATACTTACTTACTTTTTAAGCAGGATAATCAGAATCAGAATTCCTTTATTCGTCCCACAGAGGATACATTTACATTGTTAAAGCAAAATATAGATAGAGATGAAAAAAATAATGTACACACTATTGAATAAAAGGCATGCACATAGTATATCAAATGAAATATAACATTTACAGAAGTACACATTCAGGGAAAATAAGTAAGTAAGCAGTATTTATAGAATAAGTGTAACATTGTAGAATGAGGTTTGGTAGCGGGTTGACTGCAGTAGTAAATAAAATAAAATAATATATTTACATACACTGTAGTAAAATACAGATTTTTGTTGGAATAGCCTTACTAAGAAGTAGCAGCCAGTATTCATAATCATTTTAGCTATGAACATCATGTTGCACATAAGTGTTGTTGCACCGCAATGGTGTCATAATCTCCACTTCTTAACGCCACTTGTAAAAGTTGAAGCATAAACACAAACGGCAGATGTAAATAGCTAATCTAATACCATAAAGTAACTACATCAGGGTTGTATGACTTTACTTCCTCAACGCTAAGCTAAAGGCATATTGACGTTTTGTAGCCTCATTACATCGCTTGTTAGCAACCCCTTTTTTAAGACACATTAAAACGTTATACATTCAGGAGTGGTCTGTCGTATAACAAGACGTAATCATCTCGTAAGCTTATATTAACCACACACTTTATTTTAGGCATCTAACCGAAAACACGACTTCCAGACGACACAACCCAGGTGTTAAAATGCTAACAAATGTCCACTTTATTTATCTGTTGGCGTTGGATTTAAAGGGCTATATCAGCTTACTTGTGTTTTGGAGTTCTACTCAGCCTGTGAAGAAAGTCAATGTCTTCTTATAGCTTTTCTTTAACATCTCTTGACATCTTACACAAAAGCGTGCCAACTTGTTTTGGCTGATCACCCCTTGAAATGAAGCAGTAGGGGTTTTATTAGATTGTTTATGTTCAGTAACTGGTCTAAGGACATACAACTATGTAATATTTCATTAGAAATCTGGACATCAGAAGTCACAGTGCAGTGCTCAGTTGCATAAACCAATGTTTCAAACTGTATTCAAAATACTAGAATTCTATCCATAGACTGAAGATGTACTGAATCACAATGTATATTGATTAAGACATTATGGACATTGTAGGTTTGTATAGGTGGACCCACAGCAGGTATTAAGAGTCAAGATATCTTTGATTTCAGTTTTAACCATTCTTCCAAGTCAATTCATTGTTTCAGTCTGAAATTGGTGGAAATGCCTATCAACATTTCCCAGACCCTCTTCAAATACGTGTTTTATCTGATGAGCTTCCAATTTATTTTATATAAATAAACCATTATTTGACTAATCATTTCTTCTTGGAGCAGTGGTTCCGCCCCCTCCTCTCTGCATTACGCTGATTCGCTCCCCCCATGGTGCCTCATGTCTGACTGTTAGGACTTAACTAATAATGTTTTGGTGAGTGAGGGAATGCCAAAGTGTGGCTTTAGAGCTTCCATGAAGTATGTTAGATGTGCTCGGGTCTATGAACCCCCTCACCTTCTCCCTCTGCAGCCCCCACCCCCAACCGGTTGTGCAATACACAAACACTCTATAATTAGACTGCTCACATTGGGGATAATATAAAAGTTTGAGGCGGTTTTTGGCTGAAGACCAGCTCCTCATAAAATTGCTGTGGGGTTGTTGGCATACATTTGTACTGAGCAGACACGTGTCTTTTGATCTAAAGTTTGTAAGGAATACTGTTAGCTGATCCAGTTTACCTTGGCCATGTGCTCACCTTAGGGGTGTGAGATAACACATGTCTCCATGCTTTAATGTTCAAAAAGCTCTTTATTTTTCTCATACTGCCTGTGCTGCAGCACCTCTTTTCACCCTCTGTCTGAAACCATGATTGTTTAGCTGGCCAGCTCTGTTGTGATTGGTCAACCACTAAGCGATGTCCTGCCTGCATTTCACCTAATGTTGGAGCGTCAGCCAATAGAAGCGTGAATGTGTGTAGTGATGTCTATGGAACTCCCTCTGGGGGGAACTTTGGGAGTGCCATTGCAGACCATTTACATGCACTAAAACCTATAGAACACACTACAGGAAAAGGAGAACCCTAAAAAGCACAATTGTGCCACTTTAGCTTTTTCAATACCATATTAATTCTCATAAAACTGTTGTTGAACTTATTAATAGTTTACAGCTATGGATTTGTGGCAGGCTCAGATTGATGTAGGATGCTGGAAGTTACAGCGACTACTATGATCAGGGCCAGTCCTAGACATTTTGGTGCCCTAGGCGAGATTATGATTTGGTGCCCCCCCCCCCCCTCCAAGGAATACATAATGGAATATATAAAGAATAAATGAAAAATCTCTACAAAAGATCAATACACTACAAAAACTGAAACGTATTGACATGTTGGTTATATACATAAAGAAGGTTTCAAATGTATTCATTATTGTATGAACATGTTTTAATTGGGGGGTGGACTTCACATCCTCTAGGGGGTCCGGGGGTATGCTCCCCCGGAAAGATTTGTTTTAACATTTTAAAGTAAAATGCTTCAATCTGGTGCACTTTGAGCGCCCAATTACTAGAGACTGATCTAGGGGGTACAACTCTAAACACCCATATGAAAAAGATCGGTTTACATTTTAATAATCAAATAAGTATGTGAACATAACCAATAACCTACCATAGCCAATAACAAATACATGTAACGTATTTTATTTTTGTTGTTCATTTATATCTTATTTTACCAGTTAACATTTATTTATTCATGCGTATTTTTTTAAATCTCCAGTTTTAAACGATATTTTTGGTTTACTGTCCTATAGTATACATTGGAATGATTTCAAACCTGTTGTTATTGATCCTAATAATTATAAAGGTGTGCCTTGGAAATATTTGTTTACATAAATTGTGATCAAACCGTTTGAGACCCACTGAGATAACTTAGACTAAAGTGAACTATCTAAACCCTCAGAGTCCTTTACCTCACTGAGCTGTAGTTATCAGCCTCAATCCAACAACAATCCGCGGTACCGATGCGCGCCCTCTCTCTCTCTCTCTCTCTCTCTTACTCGGAGGCTCGCTCGCACTTTGGCTGTGAGCTGCGGGCGCCTGATAAGTCAACATCCCCCACTTTCATCACTTACAGTGCCCATCGTACAGGGCAAATGCAAAATGTTGCCGGCCCGGGGTGCAAAGGGTGTTTACTTTATTCAATTATTAATGTAAATGTATTACATCAAGGGCAGAA